TAAGGCTGTAGTCCCACCCACACTTAAATAAACCCCAAACTCAGTGGGATGTACTTTTGAGTGAGTTTACATAGGATCAGCTTGCATGTGTTTCCTTTTAAATTACTGCACTGCATAGGTGACTAAAATTGTATGTAAACTGGACCTCTGCAAAAGGGTTGCTATTGTAGTAAAATGAATAAGGCATGGGATAATAATGGTATTTAATTATCTACTTTTAAATTTGACAGGAATTGTGACGAATTAATCCCTACCAGAAAAGTGGTTTTCATCACAAAGATGTAGAACCAGATGAGCATTATAATTTAAAAACAAAAACACAGATCACTAGTTTAAATTTGGTAAACATAATATTGGTGGAGTGTAGGAAACAAGGAAATTATAATAATTTATTAGTAGCAGTCTACAATCCACCAACCTATAGAGTTTTAATATACATAAAGTTGTTTGGATGGATTTAATATATGGACATGTACAACTCTATTCTGCAACAGCATCACTCGATGCCTGAGTCATAAAATAATTCAAATATTATAAATATACATAGTATAAACAAGCAAAATTATGCATACTGATTTTTGTTCTGTAGATAGAAATTAGCTACCACATTTTAGCAAGGTTTCCCTTAAGCTGTGTCAAGAATCCCACCCATCTCTTCTAAATGTAACTTAAAAAGGGGCACATTATAAATGAAGGATAAAAACCTAAAATATGATTAGTTTCGTAAAATCTGTTGAGACATTAGTCTAAGCTGGATCGACTGGAACTTAAGCTTTCATAGGCTTATGGGTCTGATGTTTAAGATACGCTCTACCTTCTAAACCTTCATGTATGATTTTTAAAAAGCACAAATACATGTGGATTATAGGCCATCAGTGAAAATGGAGTGAGATTACCATACAGTTCTCTTAAAGGCTCAAAAAATCTCCAATTCTGATTTTGGCATATTCATTTTTTAAAATTCTAGTATGGATGTTGTCAGAATGGTTCTCCATAGTCCATCTAGCACAAAACTTCTTTTTTTTTTAATGAACTTTTAGGAAAACAGGTTCCACAGGTGCAGCTTTTTTCATCGCAGTGATGAACTGATGGAGTAATTACACCCACCAGTCACCATACTGATCTGAAAGTAATGGATGTCCTATTTGGGGATGTGATGCAATTCAACATGGACACAGCTGCCATTCAAGGAACAGAACTTTCCTCCTCCCCCTTCCTGCTCCCAGAGGTAAGTGGACCCTTGGGAACAGTATCTCACATGACCGGAATGCCACTTGTGCAAGCAGATCAAGGCATAGGATCCAACCCCCCTGTGATTATAAAAGGTTCAGCTTTTTAAAACTAACTGCCTACGTAAATATACTTCCAAATTTCAGTGGAAGCTTTTGAAATTACAAAACTGGCAATGAGTTAACTGTAATTTGTTAGCCCCTCACATTCTGAGCAGAACTGGTTTCTCAAAGTTTGTCTAGCTCCCACTCTCCCTTTTAAAAAGACAGCAGATAGAATACTAATCACAGTGGTTTGCTTTTCCAATGACATCTTGGGAACAAAGATACATGGATTAGATTTTAAAAAGTGCATTTTTAAAAGCAGCATATATCCTTAGAAAGACATTGAATAATTTAATTGTACAATATATAAAATAATAATTTTATCCTGCAGCATCAAATGCTGACGCCTGAGTCGTCATACGTTAGGTCTGGGATATAAATATTGAGTTGATAACTTCATTGTTTCTTTATTTTTTTTCCTACTAGCTATTTGTTCCAGAATCAGGTTGCAATGAACTTCGGTTGTATTCAAGGCACCCCCAAGATAACACAGAGAAACAAATATATTACATAGTGTAGTATTCACCTGACAAAAGCATAAGAAGCCTAAATGAAATGAGGTTTCCTGGTAATACAAAATATAGCAAAGGCAAATAAAAAAAAGGAGGCATAATTGCAGACGGGACAGGGCTAAATGCAAATTTTATCCTATATTCTGTCTGTGTCAGTGCAAAAGCAGCTCCTGTCCAGCAAAAATTCTAAACTAAGACAAAACCATCAATTCCTTCACAAATTATGACCCAAAATCCATGAAAGAAATAAATATCTTCTCCTCTTGCATTGCTAAATAATGCAGACGTCGTTTTTATTTAATAATCGCATTTTGGTCAGTTGTTTTATTCCCTCTCTAGCCCAAGGCAATTCAAATACACCAATTTTATGTCCAGATCTGAAACTAATTCTCCAAAATGTCTCCCTTGAAGCTGCATCAAGAGCCACATGTGGTTTTAAAGAACCGTACAAAATACATAGTCCGAGGAAGAAGATATACAAGTCAGCCACTTCTAAATGGTGAAGAGCCAAACTCAAAACATCCTAAACAGTTTGAAACAATAGACTTATTGGAGCAGTGGTTTGTTTTTTGTTTAAAAAAATTAAAATAGTTTCCATTAGAAACAAAATGACACAGAAGGAAACAGTAGAGAGAGGCCCAGCACCAATGATACAGCCAGGTCAATACAATAGGTGTAGAACAATATGTTCTTTCAATTACATTTGAACCATTGTAATGAGGTCAAAAGTACCAGTTGCACATGAGTTGGTTATGACAGTAAATCTTCATGTCAGAAAGCTAGTTCAGACTTGGTTGAATACCCATAAAACCACAACTAGCCATAGGAGATCACTTAAAATAAAAAAGGCAACAGAAAAACACATCTGAAAAAAATACTGTCAGCTGAATAACAACAAAAAATCCCAGATTACAAACCCTGGCTATGAATCTATAATGCAATTCACATGTAGCTTTAAAATTCTAGCTTCCATCACTGTCTCTCACAGAAGTAGGAGCTCTTTGCAAATCACAGAAGTGCTTTGCAATGTCGACTGATTACAAAACAACCCCCCCCCCAATCCTCATCCCCTTCCCACAAAAGAGCTTCTGTTTCCTGCATGAAATGGTTGCAGGCTTCCAATATAATTAAATAGCTATGCTTTCAAAGCAAGTCAAGGACTTCTTATCCTGGTGCCAAACATTATCCTACAGCTTGTACTAGCATCCATATAACATATATAAATATACAAATAGTTAAGAGATTTTTAATTTTTTTACAGAAATGGTTAATACTTAAATAATATATATAATA